CTCCCTGCCTTTTGTACTTTGTTAAGCTTTTTCTAGTTGGTTTTGGTGATACTGGAAAATGTCTCTCTGTGACCTCGCCCGAGGTTTGGGCACACGCCCCTACATGCACGCGTTCGCCGCTGGTCGGGAGATATTAAAGCTGCCTTCAGTGTCTTCTCCCAAGGTTTGAGTACGCGACCCAGTTAAAGCTACCTTCAGTGTCTTCTCCCAAGGTTTGAGTACGCGACCCAACTTACCCTCGTAAATTTTTTATTGGGCATTCAAATTGGGTTCTAAGTTCTTCCCTGGGATGCCCCCCCCGTACTCTCCCTTAAAAATCACTCGTTCGTATGCCTGCGGGGTGCGCTTCACACTTTCCCCAGACGACCCCACGCCACAATCCTACCGATTTTCCTAATCTGTATTATCGTTTAACGTATTGCAGAAAAACCCGATTATAAAATTGCAGGTTTCTTGCAATCCCTGGAAAAATAGAAATGCTAGTTAGGAGGTCGTCTGCTCCAACTAATCTGAGGTTCAACTTACCCTTCTGGAGTTAGATTAGTATAGTCTGTGGTGCTAAGCGCCGCGTACACCTTAAATTTACGCGTGGAACAACTTACTCCCAGCGGCTGCGGTAAACAAGTTCAACTACATTTTTCCACCTTAAACTTACTTTTACAAATTTCTCTCACCGCCTATCCTATTTCCCCACTCACCAAGACCCCTTTAACCACCGTTTCGGTGGGGAAAGTATGCTGAGACCAGGGGCATATAAGGTGCACTACTAAAACTAATTTTGCCTTAAAAAACATTGGCCCCGTTCGAGAAAGTAAGTTTGTTCCACGATAACAAGTGAATGAGCAGGTATGCGCTGAGTTAAGTCATTTGTGCAACATCAGTCACACTTGAGTGGCAAGAAGGTAATTAGGTCTGTGTGAACTGTCTCCACTAGTCTCCAGCACCTTGGAAGTTTAAATTTTACAGGGAATATTTTTGAAGCACTGCTATTTTTTCGGGAGAGCAGAGGCAACGAACTACGCGGTATTTTTATTGACGTCATAGAATTTTGCGATGAACATTGCCTACGCGCATTTCGTACGCTCATTGCGACAATATAAGCCGTCCAATGAAACATCGACCTAGAGAGGTATAACGTGATAGGCAGTTAACGCATGAACTAGTGATGTGATAGGAGAATATGTATGCTGGGCGTAGGGGGCCGGCCGGTTCAGAATACAGCGAGAAACCTAGCAAAGGTGATAAAAATTGCAACGTGTGGGAGAGGCGGGTTGTGGGGGGTGGGGGTTGATTGGCTTACCTCCATTATCTATGCTTCCCTCCGACAAAGCGAGGCTGATCACGTGATCCGGTTGCTGACAGGGTTTGTCTCTGATTTTTGCCGTTGACGCCTTGATGCCGTTGTCATCGCTGAGTATTCGGCTAGTGAAGGATGAATAACTACTTGAACCCATAACCTCGGCGTTGTTGTACACAGACTGGCTGTCTACCAAACGTTAAGGGCGTCTGCAAGTAACTAAGCAGAATGCTTTGATGTCAACGAATTTGGTGACTGTTTAGCTAGCTGCGTACGACGGCATAAACCGTCCAATTAAACATTGACCAAGAGGGCTGAAACGTGATTGGTAAGAAATGCATGGACGGTTGGCCTGATATGCGCCTGCGCATTCTTAGGGGGGGGGGCATGAGTTATCTATGCCGGCCACTTCAGAAAATCCATCAAACCT